TTCCGTCAGCACGACGGCGTGATGACGGTGATGATGATGCTACCGACGCAGGGCCTCACCTAAGCACCGCTACGATATGACTGAGGTGGATTATGGTGGAGGAGGGCATCGCACACGGCTAAAAGATCAACTGATCAACTTGTGTGTCTTGGGGTGCCCCTTGCTGCCGCATATAAATGAGTGGAGGAGGGGAGGGCCGGCCCCCTACTATGGCGCACCCTGGGGAGTCCTACTCCCACTGGGAGTAGGATTCCCCCCTTCCATGTAGTAGGAGTAGGAGAGAAGGAAGGGAAAAGAGAAGAGAAGTAAGGAGGGGGTGCAGCCCCTCCCCCTAGTCCAATTCGGACTAAGCCTTGGGGGCGTGCATCCTCCCCTCTCTCTTTTCCCTAAACCCCAATAAGGCCCATATACTTCCCGGCGAATTCCCGTGATCTGAGGATTATCCTCACTGCTGCACAGAAGAATTATGTCCTTGATGCACCTCTAGGTGACGGATCTATTGCGGGAGCAGAGGCAGACGTTATGAACGTTTGGCAAGCTCGGCATGATGACTACTTGATAGATTAGTGTGCAATGCTTTACGGCTTAGAACCGGGGCTTGAAAAATGTTTTGAACGCCACAGAGCATATAAGATGTTCCAAGAGTTCAAATTAGTATTTCAGACTCATGCCCGTGTCGAGAGGTATGAGACCTCTGATAGTACTTTGCCTACAAGATGGAGGAGAATAGCTCAACCAGTGAGCATGTGCTCAGATTGTCTGGGTACTACAATTGCTTGCATCAAGTGGGAGTTAATCTTCCAGATAAGATAGTGATTGATATAGTTCTCTAGTCACTATCACCAAGTTACTGTAACTTAGTGATGAACTATAATATGCAAGGGATGACGTAAAACATTACCCGAGCTCTTTGCGATGCTGAAATCGGCGAAGGTAGAAATCCAGAAAAGCATCAAGTGTTGATAGTTAACAAGACCACTAGTTTCAAGTAAAATGGCAAGGGAAAGAAAGGGAACTTCAAGAAGAATGGCAAGCAAGTTGCCACTCCCATGAAGAAGCCGGAAGCTAGACCCAAGCCTGAAACTGAGTGCTTCTACTGCAAAGGAAATGGTCACTTGAAGCGGAACTGCCCTAAATACTTGGCGGATAAGAAGGATGGCAAAGTGAACAAAAGTATATATAATATACATGTTATTGATGTGTACTTTATTAGTGTTCATAGTAGCCCCTGGGTATTTGATACTGGTTCAGTTGCTATGATTAGTAACTTGAAATAGGAGATACAAAATGAACAGAGACTAGTTGAGGGCGACGTGACGATGTGTGTTGGAAGTAATTCCAAGGTTGATAAGATCACCATCGCACACTCCCTTTACCTTCAGGATTAGTGTTGAACCTAAAATAAATGTTATTTGGTGTTTGTGTTGAGCATAATATGATTGGATCATGTTTATTGCAATACGGTTATTCATTTAAGTCAAAGAATAATTGTTACTCCCTCCATCACAGTTTGTTGGGCGCATCTCGCGTATCTCTGGGCCCAAGGTGCGGTGTGATTGGCAGGAAATATGGAGGCGCTGGAGCTACGAAATTGAAGGAGATGTGCCTAATGAATCGCTAAACCAACGCTTTGTAACCTCCCCGTCCAGTAAAAGAAGGAGCCGATCGCATGCATTGGTGGAGACGGTTTAGAGCGAGATTTTAGCGTGTTTCCTTCTTCCTCCCGCTCCTTCCTTTCTCCCCGCGCACTTTCCTTTCTCCCCTGCACAGTTTCCTTTTTGGCGATCAAAATCTCTTGCCGATCTCCGCTGCCAAATCTAAAATGAAATTTTCTGAGTTGAAATAGCTCCCACCAATGTTCCCGTCAGTGTTCCGCTCTATAAGTAGCTGTGGCGAAGGAGGGACACGAACATGCAACGCTCATCTTCTCTCCTCTCTCCAATGGCGCCGCCGCAGCAAGGTGCAGCAGATCGCCGACCTCCTCCTCTTGGCCTCCGTGGGCTTTCTAGGGTCACTTTCCAGCCCAGAGCACCGCTGCCCAGAGGACTTCCGCCTCTTGGTCTCACCAGACGCGCGGGTGTTCCTTCCTTCTCCATCGGCATGGTTGGTTTCGAGCATCTTCCTCCTCCGACTACTTTGCCTTGACGGCGCGTCGGCCTCGCATGCCCATCTCGCCCTCCGGCACCTAACGAGGCCGGTTCCTCGAACTGGAGTGCCTCCGTCGGCGAGGCCGGTACAGGCAGTGGAGGGTTCGGCAGTTCTACGTTCGTGGGGTTTTAACCTCATCAATGGCAGCAGCGCGATCTCGTTTGGCGGTGGCGGCGGGATATCGTTTGGCAGCGGCGGCAACGAGTCCCTGGGCTTCACGTTCAGTACCGGCGCCGGTGGCAAACGGAGCAGAGAAGGATCCTCCCATGGTGGAAGCACAGAAGGTAAACCCTAAACCCTCTAGTCTCATAGATCATGCAATTTTTGTGGTTTGCCCTTGAATCAAGATCATGCTTCTGGTTTGGTAGTAATATGTGTTCTCTTGTCACGTGTGCATGATCCAAGGAACCGGCTTAGGTCTAGAACTCAACATGATGAACGGAGAGAACACAACAGGTTCGGCCTTGTAATCATAGATAGTAATTTTCATGTACATTATCAACTAAAATCTCATGGTTAATATACTTCCTTTTCTGTTACTACAAGGTATTGGTGGAAATGAGGGTACCATTGGCTACCGAGGTACTGGATACAACCCAAAATTTTCCCATGCCGACGAATACCCTCCTAGTCAAGAGGCTGTTCAAACCCAAAGACAACCTATCGATTTGAGTAAGAACATTTAGAACATATTTGTCTTTCACTAATATTCCATATTTTTTGTTTGTATAATTATTTCTCCAATGCATCTAGATGTTTTGTCATACAAGGAGACAAGAAGACAGTACAGTACCGATGACAAGCGTCACATATATGCTGAGATCATTGCCCATAATTGTACGAGTAAAAGGTTGAAGCATGGAGTTTCTAAAGCTGTTGCAGTAGCTTGTATTTGTCCTAGGAGGATAGTACAAAGGGTATGGCAGGAGGCTAAAAAAGGCGGCGGCATTACTGGGGTAAAAAACAATCGGTAGCTCAAATCAGGAAGGAAGAAGATTAATTTCAACATAGATGCATTGGAGGCCATCCCATCTGGAGAGAGAACAACATTAGAACAAGTTGCTGGACATACGAACGTGTCAACTTCCACTGTTTGGCGGAGGTGAGCGTTATACATTGATATATGTCAATTTTCTACATGTCAAATGTGTATGTCATTGATATATTGGTTGTTATATTTTCTTGTAGGTTGAAGATGAAGGAAATTAGACGAATAACGAGTGAATTGAAGCCTGCCTTGACTGATGAAAATCAAAGGGCTCGTGTGGAGTATGCTCTTAAGCATCTTGAGCCATGTAGCCTAACGTCCCTAAGCGGTATCAAACCCACATTTAGGGATGATATGGATGTGGTTCATATAGATGAGAAATGGTTTTATCGCACGTGGAAGACCCAGAACATGTATTTGAGCCATAAAGAGAATGCACCACACCGGGAATGTAAACATAAAAACCACATTCAAAAAATTATGTTCTTGTCCGCAATGGCTAGACCAAGGTATGATGCTCAAGGCAATTGTGTTTTTGATGGCAAGATTGGGGTTTGGGCTTACACAGAGTGGGTGCAAGCAAAAAAGAAGAGTCAAAACAGGTCTGCACTTGTTCTTGTTACTACTCCTACTTTCTGCTAAATTTTTATGTGCACATTATTTACTTTATTTCTATATCCATAGGTTGAGAGTGACATGGGAGCTGAAGCCTTGCCATACAGTGGACAGGGAGAAAAGTCGGGAATACTTAGTTAAATACGTACTACCGGCTATAAATGAAAAGTGGCTTGAGAGCGATAGATGGAACACCATCTACGTACAGCAGGACAATGCTAGGACTCATATAAAACCATATGATCCACTTTTTTTGCAGGAAGCTGCTAGGGGTGGTTGGGATATTAGGATGATATACCAACCACCTAATTCTCCTGACACAAACATATTAGATCTTGGTTGGTTTGCCTCAATTCAAGCCATGTTCCATAGAAAGATGCCCAAGACCCTAGCTGAGATTGTCCAAAAGGTCTTGCAATCTTCCGTTTGAGTATTTATATCTTATTTGTGATACATAGCTACTTGCTTATGTACTGATTTGAGTTTTCTTGCTGTTATGTGTCATAGGTTAATAAATCCCTAGCTGAGTACCCCCATCAAAAGCTCAATAGGATCTTGTTGAGTCATCAAGCGTGCATGAGAGAGATCATCAAGCACAAGGGGTCTATCCACTATGCGGTTCCTCACTTGAAGAAAAAAGCATTAGAGAGAAAAAGACTTCTCCCGGTTCGTTTGACGATTGATCGAGAATATGTTGAGCAGGCAATTGAGTTCTTGAATTCAACATGATTTGTACTGCCTCATGTGATGGTGCTACTGTTGGAGTATTAGTTTCATTAACCTTATCAAATATTTTGTGGCCTGTTTTGTACTGCCTCATGTGATGGTGCTACTATTCAAGTATTAGTTTCATTAACCTTACTCCCTTGTGTGTTTGGTTTTTGAGGGTGCATTTGAGTGGTGTGTGTCGGACTGTTTTGAACTGAAAAATTTATGCTTTTCTCCCTTGTGTGTTTAGTTTTTGAGGGTGCGTTTGAGTGGTGTGTAGTGGACTGTTTTGAACTGAAAAATATAACATAACATTACACTGTAGGGTTTATCATCGAACCATTTTCATATAACATTACATGACAAGATCATATTAAACATAAGATCATATAAAACCATATTCATACTCACTTTCTTACATAAGATCATATGGCAATACTCCCTCCATCACTTCCTTACATAAGGTCATGTAATGTTATAAACTTGAAGCATATAAAACCGTTACAACTCACTTTATTTTCATCATCCGGTGAATCTAAACTTAACTATCCGGCACATTATGCGCTTCCTTTTCGTCCTCGAGATAGATAGATGGGTTGCGATGGCACCTTATGCATACCCCATCTTTGTTTCTCGCCACCGTAGTCGCACAATCTTTGCACCAAAAATTGTGACAGAGGCAAGGATTTTCACACGACTCACAAGAATGCAAATCTTTTGGTGCCGGGAGCCTACATCCTAAGCAAAGGAACATGGAAGCCTCACCGCGGATGCCACACTTGAGGCACAAAGCCGGATGAATGCACACCTCACAAGTTGAGGTCGGGTTGGAGTAGGTTTTGCATACCACCTCTTGCTCTTGCACCGGCCCGCCGACCTCTTGCTCTTGCACCACCTCCTTCACGACATGAATGTCGAGCACGCCTAGCACCTCCTCCATGGCAGGATCCTCGAGAGCGCCTAGCACCTCCTCCATGGCAGTAACGTCGACCACACCTTGCCCCTCCTCCATGGCATGAACCTCCACCAAGCCTTGCATCTCCTCCATGGCAGGAACCTCCAGCACTCCTAGGCCATCCTTGGAGTACATTGGTTCGAGTTTGTGTGCCACATGGACTCCATCGTATGGGGTTTTATAGTACCCTGTTGTCTACACTTGTGAATGCAAACACAAAATGAAAAAGGAGCCGAGGAGAGAGAGGGAGAGGAGGCCTCGCATGCACTCATGTTCACACCTGCATGCACTCATGTTCACACTTGCATGCGGGAGGCCATGTGGAGCAAATAAACAAAACGATTCCCACTTGCACTCATGTTCACACTTGCATGCGCTGCACAAACCATTCATGTTCACACTTGCATGCGGTTGAGGAAGAGAAACGGAAGCATCCTAATGCGCCCCGATTAATAGGATAGTTAAGGAGCTGCGCCCTATTTCAGTGGGATTGTGAAAAAATCCAGTTTTCGAGATGCGCCCAACAAACTGTGATGGATGGAGTATTCTATTTACATGAATAAAACCTTCCATGGTCATACACCCAAGGTGAATGGTTTATTGAATCTCGATTGTAGTAATACACATATTCATAATATTGATGCCAAAAGATGCAAAGTTGATAATGATAGTGCAACATACTAGTGGTACTGCCGTTTAGGTCATATTGGTGTAAAGCGCATGCGGATGGACTTTTGGAATCACTTGATTATGGATCATTTGATGCTTGCGAACCATGCCTCATGGGCAAGATGACTAAAACTCCATTTTCTGGAACAGTGGAGCGAACCACTGACTTATTGGAAATAATACATACCGATGTATGCGATCTGATGAGTGTTGAGGCTCGTGGCGGGTATCGTTATTTTCAGACCTTCACAGATGATTTAAGAAGATATGGGTATATCTACTTAATGAAAAACAAGTTTGAAACATTTGAAAAGTTCAAAGAAATTCAGAGTGAAGTTAAGAATCATCGTAACAAGAAAATAAAGTTTCTACGATCTGATCGCGGAGGCAAATACTTGAGTTACGAGTTGGGCCTTCATTTAAAAACAATGTGGAATAAGTTTCACAACTCATGCCACTTGGAACACCACGGAGTAATGGTGTGTCCGAACGTCGTAATCGTACTTTATTAGATATGGTGCGATCTATTATGTCTCTTACCGATTTTCCACTGTCATTTTGGGGTTATGCATTAGAGACAACCGCATTTACATTAAATAGGGCACCGTCTAAAAATCCGTTGAGACAATACCGTATGAACTGTGGTTTAGCAATAAACCTAAACTGTCATTTATTAAAGTTTGGAGTTGCGATGCTTATGTGAAAAAGTTTCAGCCTGATAAGCTCAAACCCAAATTGAAGAAGTGTGTCTTCATAGGTTACCCAAAAGAAACTATTGGGTACACCTTCTATCACAGATCCGAAGGCAAGATCTTTGTTGCTAAGAGTGCATCCTGTCTAGAGAAGGAGTTTCTCTCAAAAGAAGTGAGTGGGAGGAAAGTAGAACTAGATAAGGTAATTGTACCTTCTCTTGAATTGGGAAGTAGCTCATCACTGAAACCAGTTCTAGTGATGCCTGCACCAATTAGTGAGGAAGTTAATGATGATGATCATGAAACTTCAGATCAAGTTACTACCGAACCTCGTAGGTCAACCAGAGTAGGATCCGCACCAGAGTGGTACGATAATCCTATTCTGGAAGTCATGTTACTAGACCATGATGAACCTACGAACTATGAGGAAGGGATGATGAGCCCATATTCCGACAGATGGCTTGAGGCCATGAAATCTGAGATAGAATCCATGTATGAGAATAAAGTGTGGACTTTGGTGGACTTGCTCGATGATAGGCAAGCCATTGAGAATAAATGGATCTTCAAGAGGAAGACGGACATTGATAGTAGTGTTACTATCAACAAAGCTCTACTTGTTGAAAATGGTTTTTGACAAATTCAATATGTTGACTACTGTCGGTGTCAAAACCGGCGGATCTTGGGTAGGGGGTCCCGAACTGTGCGTCTAAGGCGGATGGTAACAGGAGGCAGGTGACACGATGTTTTACCCAGGTTTGGGCCCTCTTGATGGAGGTAAAACCCTACGTCCTGCTTGGTTATTCTTGATAATATGAGTAGTACAAGAGTTGATCTATCACGAGATCAGAGAGGCTAAACCCTAGAAGCTAGCCTATGGTATGATTGTATGTTGTCCTACGGAATAAAACCCTCCGGTTTATATATGCACCGGAGGAGGCTAGGGTTACACAAGGTCGGTTACAAAAGAGGAGGTATGCATATCCGTATTGCCTAGCTTGCCTTCCACGCCAAGTAGAGTCCCATCCGGACACGGGACGAAGTCTTCAATCTCGTATCTTCATAGTCCAACAGTCCGGCCAAAGGATATAGTCCTGCTGTTCGGAGACCCCCTAATCCAGGACTCCCTCAGTAGCCCCTGAACCAGGCTTCAATGATGATGAGTCCAGCGTGCAGTGTTGCCTTCGGCATTGCAAGGCGGGTTCCTCCTCCGAATACACCACAGAAGAGTTTGAATACAAGGATAGTGTCTGACCCTGCAAAATAAGTTCCACATACCACCACAGAGAGAATAATATTTCCACAAATCTAATCTGCTGACACGTTTTGGCAGCATGACATCACGCCATGGCCCTGTAATTATTCGAACCATTTTTCTTTAACCAGCCCCGCACATAACGCGAGGCGGTTTCTTGATACGTCTTGTCAAAGCAGAGATCGTGTTCCCCATATTACGGGATTCTCATCAATACAAGCGTGGGTAACCCAACCGTGCCTGTTGGTATGACTCCTAGATCTTAGGTAAGTCTCGAACAACCATGAGGAGGACGCCTAATACTCATCCCCTTTATAAAGGGACAGGGCTTTTTCTTTTTTCCCTCCCGCGCTCAATCGAATCCTTCCCCCGCCTCGAGTTCTAACACCCAAAGCCCAGGTCAGGCGCTTCGGACCTTCAATCATGTCCGGATCCAGCCTTCAAGGCCGGTGGATGCCTTCCTCCGTCTCGGAGGAGGACATCAAGAAGTTGAGGGAGGAAAGATATCTGACCACCGAAATTTCGCATAGGCTGCCCGCCCAAGGGCAGGTCATCCCTACTCCCGAACCCAACGAGAGTGTTGTGTTCGTTTCCCACTTCCTCTGAGGACTAGGCCTCGCTCTGGATCCCTTTGTTAGGGGTCTTATGTTCTATTACGGGCTAGATTTTCACAATCTGGCCCCGGATTCCCTTCTTCACATCTCGTCATTTGTTGTCGTTTGTGAGGCCTTCCTCCGCATTACCCCTCACTTCGGCCTGTGGCTCAAGACCATCGATGTGAAGCCGAAGATGGTCGAGGGCAGTACGCAGCATGCAGAGGTGCTCTAATAAGCAAAATTGCTGATGCTCCATGGTCAAAGGGTTCCTTTCCAGAGGTGCCCGGATTGTGGCAACGGGAGTGGTTTTACGTCACAGCTCCCTGAAGTGCCAAGTGGGTAGTTGCCCCCACCTTTCGCTCGGGCGCTCCACCACAACTGATGTCATGGATCAGCAGGGGGCTGAGCTGGGGTCCATCCAAGGACGTGCCAGTACTGCAGAGCCGTATCCGAGATCTCTTCGAGGGAGATTTCAGTCTGGTTATGGTAATGCAAGTTATGCTGGTTCGTCGAGTCCATCCTTGCAAACGCCGGCCCCTCCGCATGTGGGAATTCAACCCGGAAGGACCACGCACTATTCAGAATTTCCTCGGCATGACACACAAGGAGATGTACAAATCATTCTTCGGACCCTAAATAGAGTGTCCGGACACTACCGAGGACGCGGGCCTGAGCTGCAACCGCCCTGCTGCCCAAGTAAGTAATCCCATGGCCGAACACACTATCCTTTTATTTATCATGACATCATTCTGAAGAATCGCTCTTTGACTAGGACTGGATAACAAAGGCAAAGATGATCCGGTGTTCGGCCCCCCTTCCTGAAGGCTTGGACAACCCAGTGCAGGAAAAGATGCTCGAGCCAGCACCTTGTCTGGTGCCCTCAAAGGAAGATGAAGTGGGTAATAAAGAGGGCGAAAGTGGGCCTCGATCACTACCTATTCAAATCGAGGGAATGAGCGCCTCCGCGAGGGAGGATAACCAAGGGGAAGAATCTAACATTCTCTCTCCCCGGGGAAGGAAGAGGACTACCTCTGAAGATCCGGAAACTAAGGTTTCCAAACGGGAGAAGAAATCTCCGCCAGAGGGTCCTGCCTCGGAGGGTATTCTTGCCGCACAATGTCCACGCGGGGATCAGCCCTCTATCAAGCTATAAGTAATCAAGAAGTACTTAATAGTGAAGATATCCTACCTTACTTCCGAAGACAATAACCGATGCTTGTAAATTGTAGTCCGGATCGCAACCCTTCTCGACAGAGTTCATCTTTGGGGGATCTTCTTCCGGAGATGATGGAGAGCGAAATGCCTCCCCCGGACTCCCCATCTCAAGAAGCGGGCAACCTTGAAGTGTCGTCGCGAAGGGTATCTCCGGATCCAATATCACTAGAGGATAATCCTTTGGCTGCCCGGCGTCCCCAGTATCCGGCTCCTGAGGAGAGCGACAGCAAGGGTCCGTACTGTGTGCGGTCGGACACGCTGAAGGATCTTTTGGGGAAAGTTGTCGTCTCGGAAGCGCATTGTATGCTAATGGGTACGGTAATTGAAAGGATTTCATCCGCCGAAAGCGGTTTGCACGAAGCTTTTATGAGTCTGCTGAAAGGCTTCGAGGTACGTAAAATGATGTACATTTTTGATAGTACCGCACATTTTTAGATGTGCCCCATGTAGATAGTAGCCCCTGAGACTCTGGTTGTCGTTGAAAACGGCGGCAAACAGAGGATCATAGTCCCAGGTAATAACCAGACCGCCTGTATGCGCAGGTGGTTGAAGCTCCGGTGGCTAGCCGGACTGATGGGTTTGCCGAACTAATGCGGCAACTAGATGCGACAGATGCCGACATCGTGCTTGTTAACAAGCGGCTTGACGAGGCACAAGGTAGGTGATTTTTCTGGTGAATGTCACATAGTAAGAGCAGCATGATGCTAGTAT